ACTGGTCCAAATGCCATGATCTGGCAGCCTAAGCAAAATGAGCTCAAACTCTGTTCCAAGCGGCTGGGCAGCTACAGCATAGTTAGCCCTGATGCCAATAAGTTCATAAACAAAATAAAAGAATGAATTGGACACTGAAACGAAACTCCAGTTTTAGTTCTGAGCCAGGCCTCCCCATGGAAGTTTACATCAGGTTATCGGTGATCTGCAGGGTGATGCTCTGTACTGGTACAGAAGGACACAGCACAGGAACAAACACCGGCAGACAGAGGTGTTTTCGTGCTTCCTGTCTGCATTATACAATTTGCACGTTCCCACTTCATTTTCACAGCCACGAAATCCATTCACGATCACAGAGAACACTGCAGCAACTCCTGAAAAGCAGCAACTGAGCTCGCCCTGCCACGCTGACCATTTCTGAGGCCCCCGTTGCAGAGCAGCCACGCTCCTCCCATAGCGCGCGACAGTACCAAAAAAGGTCTCAGTGTGTCATTGGTCTTTGGTTTTCAGGCTTAGCCTCGACCCAGCCCCAGAGCGTACCGGTGATAAACAGCATGGGGAGCAGCCTCACCACTCTGCAGCCCGTCCAGTTCTCCCAGCAACTGCACCCATCCTACCAGCAGCCCCTCATGCAGCAGGTCCAGAGCCACATCAACCAGAGCCCCTTCATGGCTACCATGGCCCAGATACAGAACCCTCACGGTAAGAGCACGAATGCGTTTGCTCAAATCAGAAATAACTCTGTTCTGGAGCGTTTGCTGGGTCCTTGGCCTTGCAGCACTCCATTTTCCCCTTCTGTTATTGTTGTCCTAATTACGAAATTATTTTTCTCTTGCATTCATCTCCCTGTCCCTCCATTCCCACCGTTTCGGAGACAGACAGCAGGTCCACGTACATGAGGAGAACAACTCAGCCAAATTATTCTCATGCAAAGCTCCAGCATCCACATGATCTTGTTTTCTTTCATGCACAGCTCTCTACGGCCCCAAGTCTGAAGTGGCCCAATACACACATACAGGCCTCTTACCACAAACCATGGTGATAACAGATACTGCCAATCTCAGCGCCCTGACTAACCTGACACCAACTAAACAGGTAACAGCCTTTAGCACATGCCTTTGTTCCCCCACCTCAGAACTGCACCAGTCTGCAGGTAGCTCCTTGCCTCTGCCAAAGTTTTGGGGTGCGTGGTCTGTGCCATCCCAGCAGGATGGTCTTTTCCATCTCCTCACCTTGCTGGTGGTACCAGCTGCAATACTGGAGGCACTAGAGCAAGCTCTTCACTCTGTCATCAAGGAGGATTTAATCTCCTTGGAAACAGCACCTGCTCACTCTTCCCAATACTCATCTCTTGTGCCTGCAGAAAGGGAGGCAGAAACCAGGCACTGTTAACTTTCTTTTCTCTAGGCGTTCACCTCTGACTCAGAAACCCACACAGAGTCTGGGATCCATACGCCGGTGTCACAGGCGCCAACGATACACTTACAGAACCAGGACACAGCCATCCAGCACCTTCAGCCAGGCCCTCGCCTCACCTCGAGCCCTGCTGGTAAGAGCAGCAGCCGCTATTATTTTAAACCGTGTATCACCCAGCTCCTCCGGCCAGCACCGTAATGCCCGTTCAGAAAAATGGGAAGTAGGGCCTACCATTCCCTAAGAGGGCTCCACCAGTGTCCCGGGGGGCTGGAAAGCCATTACGAGGAAAAAAAAATACATAGATTTAGAGCACAGTTTACAGCAAGGAACTGTCTGTACAGGCTGTGTGAGGCAGGACTGAGAAAATGGGACCCTCAGCAGAATTCATAGAGGAGAATAACCTTAAAGGTATCAACAAGATCAGGGTCCGCACGCAGCTAGACCTGCAGGCAGCTTGAGCTGAAAAGCCCAAGACTTCTTCACGTACAGACTCAGGTTGGCACTTTCCAGCTCCAGGAAAGGACATTATCAACTAGAACGCTCAAATCCCAACTCCCTGAAGGTCATCTGCCACGATGCTTTCGGGCTAGCTTTGGACCTGCCCTAGGTATATAACGGCACACAAAATAGGAAAAGAAGCTATGGTCCTAGGCCGAGATTTTAGTCACGCTGGAAACGCGAGTGTGCGTGCACGCGAGAAGGGGGCTGCAGCGAGAGTTTGCTGTTAACTTCTGCCTGTGCCTTTGACAGTGTCCTCCAGCAGCCTCGTGCTCTACCAGAGCTCTGACTCCACCAACAGCCACAGTCAGCTGCTGCCGTCCACTCACAACGTCATCGAGACCTTCATCTCCACGCAGATGGCATCTTCCACTCAGTAACCACGGCAACCAGCTCGAGGGCGACTGCTGCGACCAAGCTGTCAGGAACGACTCCAACTGCGTTTGCCATCGCTGTCACCGCTGCCTTCAGCGGCAAGGAAAGGCTGCTGCGCTCCGCAGCCCCTACCGCCTCACATGAACCTCTCGCTCAGCTGCCTCCATGGGAGATGTCCTAGGCTCAGGGCAGGAGTCATGGAAAGACGATGCTGGCACTGCTAGAATCCCCTGCCACCCCTCTCACCCCAAAAACAAACCAACCCACCCAAACCCCAGCAGCCAGCCTAGAAAGACTAGAAATCCTTGCGGCTGCTAAAGAAGGAATCCCATCGAGATAGCGATCTGACTGGAACACAGCAAAAACGCCAGGGTGTGCATGGGATTTTTTTTCTGCTCAGCCTCCGCATCAGGCTGGGCCTGTACAAACCTGCCAACGCCAGTCTAAACCACGCACGAAGGCGTGACACCATCTTAACACACTCACCTCCTCTGCCGTAAGGAAGCACTAATGGGAACTTTGAGAAATACTATCTTCTTGGAGGCAAGAGAAAGAATCCGACTCCTGACTTTGCAGCTAAACCCACTGAGAAACAGATTTGGGAATGGCTTGGCACAACTCTGTCAGTTTGGGATCACTGACTACAAGCTACAGTTCCATTACTTAAAAAACAAACACACAAAAACCCAAACATTTTCAGCTTGTCAGTTCAAAATGACCTGCTTTAAAAAAAAATCATGCTATCCTAGTGGAAATGGCTTGGTTATTTTTGATATAGCTCTGCTTTGTTTTAAATGCAGAAATTAAAATTTAAAAGCAGTATGGAAATTCCAGTTTTCTGCATTAGTTATGTGGATTCTCATCTCCCTGCTGAATGACCCAGGGGGATGGCACTCTCCACAGGTCCCTGACACTGCGTCAAGTCTGGGGTTTTCCCACGCTCCGCAAAGATCGATAGCTCCCCGTGTTGTCCTCTATAAAGATCTCAGCTTGGATGGATTTTTACAGAACACAGCTCATTCTTAGTCTCCCTGCAGGCTACATTCTACTATGCAAATAATTTCCCTGGAGTCTAAAAGCCTCATTTGCACAAGGTGAAGGTTTTCTGCCCTAAGGACCTGCTTATATAAATTCTTCTTCTAATCATTCCTCTCTTCGCTATTTACTCTCAACCTTCACATCACCGATGCATCAGTAGCCAGACATGAAAGAAGCCCCAATTAACATATTTTTGTCATTGTGATAGAAACAGAGCTATTCCTTTGCCCAGAAGGAAGACAAAAATCCTTGAGACTAGAGCATGTTCAAGACTTAAAAAGTTAAAATTAAGCCTAAGGGAGAGTTTGAAAACACCTAATAGTGAATTCATATCTGGAGATTTCAAAGTTACAGGTGTCGGTTAGAATTCATGAGAAGAGCTTCCTCTAGATACCATCAGCGACCAATTTCTGTAACCAGAGTCTCTGTGGAATTTCACCCTAGAATCGGTCCCTAACCTCCTATGCACATTACCTGCGAATACACTTGCCTTCTAGTCAGTATAAAAACAATAATCATAAAACAAGTCGAAAATAATGTTTAGACCACTAGGCATTTATACTTGTTAAAGAACAAATAAGATCTAAGGTTTAAGGAATCCAGAGAACCCACATGCTAGCTTCACTAAACTGAAGTTTTAGTTGGCCATAAGTAACTTCTGTTGGCACGTTCAGTTAGTTCGCAAACCAATGTTCTGTTTAGCCTTTCCATTTCCAGATGCCAACAGTGTTGTCTTGAGTGAAAAGGAACAAGGATCTTCTAGTAAGAAAGCCGACACCTGGGTTTTTCCCATGCTCAAAGAGCGCCACTTCCCTATTTTGACTCCTCTAACTTGGCTTTCAAGTCTCCTGAAGGGGGCCAATGAGTTAGTGCTATTGAGACCAAACAACCTTAAGAACAGAAGAATATTTATCCAAGTAACAGGTTGTTTCCCGAAACACTGGAGCTGAAGGTTTGGTCTCTATAAATGGACTAAGAACCATATTGAAAACTACCAAAGCCCACTCTATTTCAGAGACAGACAATCTAACCCATCAAAATAAGAACTGAAAATCAGATTTCAAAGTCACTGTGTTAAGTCCTCCCTCTGGCAATTTTATAACATAGATCACAAAGTAAATAAGCAGTCAACTTAAGCCATCTTTATCTCTGTTAGGGGAGCCATCTGAACAGAGCAAGCGAGCCACTGCTGTACAAAACCTGCCAAATTAAATAAGACTAAAAGCGTAGCAGAATTCAATAACAACAAATGCCACGGAAGACATGAAAATAAATTTCAAAGACGACAACTTGAACAGAACTACCTATTTATAAGAACCCAGAAACAAACTCACTGCACACTCTTTGTTTAGCTGTTATATGCAGGGGCCCTGGAGAGGTGCAGATTACTGAAGGATTAATAACATGGCAGGTTTCAACAACAGATTGTCATGATGATCATCGAAAAATAAGTAGGCCCTGACATCTGCCAGGATGCTTTTGATAAATGAGTCTCTCTCCCAAGCTGGGGCTGTTCCTCCCAAGCACCTAGTGGGAGGCAAGGAGAAAAAGGAGTCGATCACTTGTTCATATACATCAAATTCAAACCATCACATACTTTCTCTGGGACACAAGATTTGGTTTGACCAAGAGAAGGAACATGGGAGGACAGATGCAGCCCTTTGTCCCGTAAGTCTAGGCACAGTATTTAATCTTTCAGCACTAGGTCCGCATAAGCACCAGCACATATAACTGCTGTGAGGGAAGGACAATGTTCCCTTCCTCCAGGGATGCCAACAACAAAGGAACTCATTTAGTAAGAATTTAGTAAGGCCACTGAGCTTTTAAAACAGAAGCTCTGCCTATTAATTTTCCCTCATCTGCAGCAGCTTTTTCTTTGTTAGTTTCTTTTCAGCATCCTTCATCTATCACAATCATCTGCTGTTTGCAGAACAAATCTTCATTCTTTTTTTTTCTTCTTCTTTTTCTTCCTCACTATTTCTGGCAACAGTGTTGCCTCTATATTATTTCTGTCCTGCCTCTCATCCTGTCCATTTGTAGATACCAAACACCACAAATCTTTCCTGGTTTGGTCACCCTCTGCCACGTCTACTATTTTGTCTTGAATCTTGTTCTCTCCCTTGATTTTCTTTTTCTTCTTTTTCTTCTGGCTGGGCTCTACACAACAGTGATTCAGATCCTGGCTGGAATCCTGGGACAGCGCAGGGAAAGCACTTTGCTTCAGGATGTCTGCAGCTGACACAGCAGCCTCCTGGTACTTTTGCCATTCTTCGTCGCTGTCCAGGTCACTGGAAAGGTGACAAAAGGGAAGGGAACTGTGTTAAAATCGGCCCTGAATTCACCCGAAGCACGGAGTAATCTAACATCAGAACACCTGATCAAAACATCCAGTGACTCTGGGACTCCAACACGTACTCCAGTTAGCATTTAATGCGTTTGAAGGCTGAGCATTCTTTACACATACTAGGAAGGGTAAGATCATTTCTCAGAAATGTTTCTAGTTCCCCAGCATTTAAAAAAAAAATCTGCTAAAGTTCAACATAAGAGTCATAAAAACATGCTTCTCAAGTTCTTCAGCTTTCTATTCCCATGGGAGTGTCCCAGCTGCCTCTGAAACCGGAGGTAGAATAGTAGCACTTCAGGAGCAAAGCAGCTGACAGGACCTCACCTGGAGCTAGACGGTTGTCTCCTCCTTGCTGGAGGAGAAGGTTCCGATTTCCCAGAATCTCCTGGGATGGAGGAGGAGAAGAGGCGAAAGCCTAAAATATGCAAAAGGCATAAAGGGAATTTTAGCCAAGCTATAATACAGAGGTGAAAGCAATCAATAGCAGTCTCTCTAGGAGGCCTCACTGCTGTTAATCTTCCTATTGCTAAAGTGCTAGACAGCAATTATTTGGGCCAAAAAATCTGAGAGGAACCAGATAAGGCACAGAGATCATAACATCAACATGCCAGTCCTTAGTGATATCAACACAAATTCTTCCACTGCAAGCGCTCTGCAATTAGTTGTGTGTATAACTGGCACTGGAGAGCATCCATGCCACTTATTATTAATTAACAATGTCCGAAGAGAGCCACAATGGCTGTGACTAGAACTCACCATCATCTCCAGAGTCAGACTCTTGCACAGAAGTTTGTGAAGGTCCTGATGAATCCTTCAAGACAGTGATAAAACTAAGCAGAAAACCACAGTCAGATAGGTTTGTGCAGCCAAACTGAGATAAAGTTGGATACTTCTAGGAAACAAGACTGTAGGGAGATGTTACATAGTTTCTTTCTTTTTCCTAGTGAAGTGGTTTCATTTTGCCCTTTCAGAGCAGACCATGCCTTCACCTTTTACCATCACATGCCATAAGCATGACTTGCAAGCAACATTTCAAAAAGCCCACTCAGAACACCAGGAGTTCTAGTTCTTAGAGCCATGTGTACGCAATAAAGACAGCGGCACCCACAGTCAGAGGCAGCTTGTGAACACAGCGTGCTGCCAGCACAACTCTGAACGTTTTAGATTGTAAGAATAAATGAAAGAGTCGCATGCCAGCCTTTAAGTGGCTCCCTGTTACATGTTCACCACAGAGGTGAACGGAGACAGGCTGTACCGCACAGGAGGCCTGTACAAGAGGAGCACAGCACATGGGCCAGGTCAGCTCACAGAAGAGTGGAAGCTTGCAGTAGATACAGGAACGAAGGGGACAAGCAAATAAACAATTTGTCCTTCATATCCTCATTGCTCTCAAATCTTTAATTTCCCATTTTTAGAACGCAAAAACATCAGTGCTACTTTACCCCCAGAATAAACCTTTTAATATCACATGCCAATACCCGTCTAGCATTGCTCCCAGTTTCTTTGCGACATGTGCTCTGAATTCTGGTGTGGTCTGTAGCTCATTTCCATCCTCATCATGACCATTCACCTTGCGCCTGTTTAAAATAAGAACAATGATGATCTCTTTCAAGGCCAATAAGATCTGCTGCTCTCATCCACACAGGAGACAAGCAACTGAAAAGCCTCCTAGCCTCTAGTAACCTATTCCTACTTAATTGATAGGGAAGACTGCTAAAATGCTGCAAAATAGCTCAGCAGCATCACTTCAGCATCCAAGAGAGAGACGAAAGCTATTTAGGCATCTCCAGGACAGTTAATAATTGGGTGATTTTCACACTGAAAGAGACAACAAGAGCAAACATATGATGTCAGGACATCCCTTTGCTTGCAGGTGGTTCCTGAAGAAAACAACTTTGAAGTACACTGCATAGATGCCACAGGTCTTGCAACATCTGTCCTGGGAGAGAGGATTTTAAGTTGCCAGGCAGAAGGTCTTAGACACAGAATCTACAGGAACATTGTAAACCTGTGTAGGACAACATCACCTTCATGGCAAGTATTTAATTCAGGTGTTGTTTTCCTAGTTGATAAAAGTATCTGGCTTTGCAACCGTAACCTTTTTTTGAAATGGTCTTTCTATGTATAATGCTTTCTTTCTAAGAGGAAAAGAAACTTCATTACATATAATTGTACTAACACCTACACAGGGCCCTTACAAAGGTGGTAGGTGTCTGACACTCTGAACTAAGGCTGTGCGTGAAAGTGGTAATAGCTTTCTACTTCTACACGGACCTGCCGCTAGAGGGATGAGAAACGTACTTAAAGAAATGTTAGCTTTTGGGAGGGTTTAAGCACCGTTGCAGGTCACTGTTGGCCCAGTTTCTGAGAGAGAACAATGCCTTTCAGTAGGGAGCATCCCAAGGCACTAACGGTAGGTAACACAGACACATTACTGCGTTAAATTTTTCTTCACTAGAACAGAATTTTGAAACCAAAGATACCTTAGACTAGGCTGAGCTGTCGGCAAACGAGCCTGTCTAAAACCACCTGCCAAAGAAAGAAAGCAAAAGCAAGTTAGAAAAACCGGTGCCCACAACATCGTTAATCCTGCTCCCGCAGATGTGGTGCTACGCTACAAAGCTTCAGGGGGAAACAGCTCGGGGCGGGAGGAAGGAGGAACTCCCCAGGGGCCCGGCGGTACCCGGGGGCCGCCCCCC